AGCCGCCGGGGAATTAACGCAAGACCCGTATCTTGTCCAGGTAACATTAAGTATCAACTTCACATTCAAACCGTTACAGGTATCTCTACTTTTGAACATTCACCTATTTCTTAATAAGACTTGTCTTTTATCTCAAATCCACCATGGCATAGACCCACAAATCCGACCGTGCATATGCGCATATCACAGGTTTCATTAAGACTAAGGTTGCGTTTTTTACCCACTGAAATACTCCATGCTTATTGTACTTATACTGAAACGCGTATTCAGCCATTTCATAATTAACTTTGGTTCAAGGAAGCAGGTAGTGGTCGGCCTCGTGAGTCAGGTTGAATAAAATGGCGTTTTTCGAAGTTTCCACCGGCCTTTACTTTTCTAATTGCCTTTAATAACAGGGCAAATAACAATTATTTGCTCCCGAATTATGTCTGGCGCTATTAGTAGAAGATAATGACGTCCAAGAGGTCACTTACATTGGGAGATGGGGAGTCTCGACTGAGACTTAATTTCCTACTGCATCATCTTATGCACGAGTAGGGAACTGCGAAAATCGGATACTTTTTAAAAACCCAAACTCATGTTCGGGGATTTTCCACAACTGCAGGACGTGACTAAGGCGTGCAAACTGCACGCACTCCCGCTGACTTTAATAACATTTTAAACTACTTGCGTGCAAATTGGGTTCGACCTCAAAGGGAACTGTCTCGATCAGCCTACCTTAACTTCATTAACTGATTTCTTAAAGGCAAAAGTCGGCATATTTTGAGGATAACAGAGGAGCGAAGAGCAGTACAACTAACGGCGATGAGATGGGCATCATGCGATGTAAGTACATCCCGTCTATTATCAGCTCTTTTGTCAGTTCTGTTTTCGCTCGCCATCTAGGACTACGTGTAACTTTGGCATCCTGTACACTGACAGAAGAAAACAACATGTATTTTTGTCGGTGACTTTGGTGTGATGCTATACACGGTGGCGCCCCTAGCCAGCGACTACTCCAGCCAGACAGCAAACTGTCCCGTCTCCCCCAGCTGCACAGGAAGGCATTACACACTGCTTCATTATGACGAGAACTCATCAGATCCTGACCGAGAGGTAGTGGGGCATATGACTCAGTGCTGGTCGACTGGTCTGATGAATTTTGTTGTATACAAAACTTCTTAATTAGGGTGCATATTGCGAATGACTCCTTTGAATTATTGAATGATTCCCTTAATTTGTCTGTGTTGCAGATCCAGAATGCTATTCGGTCGTTCATGCAAGTCGTGCTCAAACTTCCCGCACAGATAATGCCATATGAGCGTCCAATCGTGGACGTGAAGCCGGTAGAGGAAACTTGCGAAACCTACCTTCGTTCTGAATTCATGCTGGTTTGTTGAAATATAGTATATAATAATTGAAGATGTGCTTGTTATTTCTTGGGCTAAAACTAACCAGAGAAGCACAGATGGAATAATTTCGAGGTTGATACTTGATGACCTTTACTGCTGAAGTTTACTAATTGGTACGAATAGCGGGAAGCGTCGCTT